AACACCCCCCCCCCCCCCCCCCCTTCCCGCTATAGCCCTCACCTGACGCGACCGAGAACGGTGGTCTTCGCCCGCTCGTCTGCGGTCCCCGCGAACCGCAGGCCGAGGCACAGGCAACCTCCCGCGATGATGTTGGCGTGGGCCTGTCGGATTGTCTGCCTGTCCACCACCGAGCTTAGCTCCTCGGGGAGGGGCTCGTTCAACCGCGCGTATTCCACCGACACCACCTCGGGGATCTTGTTTTGTTTTTTTCGTCGAGAAAGAAGGGTAGAAAGAACGAGAGAAGGAACACAGAAAGAAAAACTGGCGAGAATGAAAATACCGTCATCAGCGTACCGGTGCATGGTGGTGGAGTACGGCGAGAGGGGGAACACCAAAATTCCGGTACACGTGTTTAGAGCGGCTACAGTAGAAAATAGTGCTAGATAGTAGTCGCTTAATGTTTGTCCCTGCCACCGCTTTTACACCCTGGAAAAGGCTTTGCTGCTGACTGGGGCTGGACGAACCAAACGGTCGCGTAGCAATGTTCGAACGAATCACACACTGGGAATTTTTCTTTTGTAAATGAACCCCAACAACCTTGATTTTCTTCATTTAAACTTCAAATAGTCTTTAACGGCCTACAGCTTCAACAAAAACGATACCTTGGGTTCCGTTTTTTTCCATCTCAATTTTTTAATGAATCCTACGGATGGATACACGAGAGCGAATACAAAAATACGAAGGGGTAGGTTAACAGCCCCGCCCCCAACACCAAATCTTTTGCGTACAGCGGTAGGCACACAGCCTTGGCCCCCGAACACCCACCTGAGACTCGATCCAGCCATCCGTCGGGTGCACCTCGTCCCACATGACAAGTCCCTTCACCACCACCCGCAAGAGCAGCTGCTCCGGCCGCGCGTAGTCCAGCTGGAAGTGCGTCTGCGGCAGCGCCAGCCTCGCCGCCAGCGCCTTGTCCCCGGACCTGACGTGAATCAGGGCCAGCGCCAGCAGCGCCGCCGGCGCGGTGACGTCGGTGTTGACGTACTCGCCGGCGCTAATGCGGCTCGGGCCCGTGGACTCGTGGCCGCCGCCGCCGCTCCCCCCCCCCCCGCCGCCAAAACATCCAATTGGGCCATNNTGTTCCCCCCCCCCCCGCCGCCGCCGCCGCCGCTCGGGCCGTTGGCTGCCCCGCCGCCGCCGCTGCCGCCACCACGCCCCCCCGGCCCCTGAGAGGAAAAGCCTCCACGGTTTCCAGGGCCGATTGCATCGCCGCCGCCGGCAGTGGACGGTTCCTTGCCTCCGCTCATGTAACTGCGGGACAAAAAAATCGGATTTCGTTGTTGTTCGGTCTCGAAGAGGGAGTGGGTCCATCTCTACATCGCTATGTACACTGTACACGCCAGAGCGGTATGACGATCGTGATACGGCTACGGCGGTGACGCTGTGCTAACGCGGGTGGACCTGAGCTGCGATTTGCAAGTGAGGTATACTCTGAAAGCAAAAAATACGTCCCGAGAGCGCCCACCATCCCAAAATCACTAACAAACGCCAGTTTCGTACCGTATTGAACTTGCAACAAAAGTCTAGCATCGTCCAAGTGTCTCATCACCGCCCGACGGCACCGCCGTCGCAACACAAGCCTGGCGCGCGCAGCCATCGGCTCTTCTCTCCTCACCGGTGAAGCTGCTGCTCGAGCTTCAGGTCTGCCACACCCGCCATGCCCCCGCTAGCACCCTTGCCGAGGTTAATCATCCCGAGGGACAGGCCGCACGCGAGCGCGTATCCCTCTCGGTCGGCGAAACGGTCGCTGCAGGGTGCCCTGAGGAAAGCGCGGTCGATATTAACCAGCGGCGTTTGTGTGTGTGCCGTTAGCCGGCGAAGGTTGGTTCGCACGGGGACCGTCGGGGAAGAGGTTTTGGAGGAGGGAAACGGTGGGCATGTTTTGATGGCAGGGCAGGCGTCGGGCGTACCGTACGTCGTTGACGGGAGAAGCAAGGCACTCCTACATGAATAAGAAACATTCAGGCTCAAACAAGGGGGGGGGTGACCACACCAAGAGTTTGCATGATACGGAGCCCCTTTTGAGGGGCAGGGGACCAGTGCCGCAGAGAAACAACTCAATCGCATCGACCCATCTTTCGATCGACAACACGAAAGAACGCTTGTCTTCGCGATTGGGCGAAACGCCGTTGAAATCTCCGCTTTCCCACCCGCTGCGTGTTCCATATGTTCTTCTTCTTCCCCTCACCTCCCCATCTCGCCGAGGAGAAATTCCGTCATCAGCCGGTGAGAAGTACCCTGCGACGACCGGTAGCGACAGGGGGGGGGGGGGTCAAGGGGCTGGAGACATACACGCTCCACCCGCTGCTGGACGCGATGAGACGTCCTCGTCCTTGTCACTCAAAACGGTAGCCGAGACGTTCCGCGCTCGAGTCGCCTCTATCCGTCGAAGCAGGCAGCAAAGGGCAACCGAGCGACTGACGGCCGCATCGCGTCAACGCGGTCTGGCTTGTTCTTTGGGGGTGCAGATCACCTCTCACCTTTCTAGCTTGTCTCTCAGGGCACGTGCGTGCCGTGGCGAATGCGGCAAGTGTGTGCCTACGCTAGATAGGTGTTGTGGTGAACGAGGGATCGCACCTGGTAGAGCAGGCCGACTCCCGCCAGTGCGGCCGCTTGGGTAACGCTGCTCGTGTCCATGTCGGCGAAGGGGTGCGGGAGAAGGCTGGGTACGTGCAGGCAGAGCATCTGAGCGAAGGCGACCACAAACACACCCGGTACCGGAAGGAGCACCGGGGGGTGCGAGAGAGAGAGAGAGAGAGAGAGAGAGAGAGAGAGAGAGAGAGAATGAGGGAGAGAAGCTGTGTTGTAGCAAGGCAGGGTCTTGGCCACGGGAGAAAGATTGGCGGCAGCAAGGCGCATCCCACACCCTTGGAAATGGTTTCATGTCGAGCACAGGTGTTGCGGGCAATATTCACATGCGCAAAATTGAAAATTGGGCCCAGCGTAGCAAGTCGAGCGTAGCTGGCACAGCCGGTTCCAGCAAGTCGGAAGCGGCAGAAAAGCGCGGAAAGCAAGAGCTGGGTGCGTCTATCACGAGGAGCCACGGAAACCCATAAGGAGTGCGCGAAAGCAGCGACGGCAGCGTGCGCTCCCTGGTCCGGTGCTACGAGTCAAAACTGTCAGCGCCTTCGCGCGAACCTTGTAAATAGCCAACAAATGAAAGAGAGTTGAGCACGGTCAACGCAGCTCGCGACCTTTAGCAGAAGCTGTCTTTGTGACCCCCTATGGACACCCGACAAGAGCTGTGTTGACACACATCCATCTCGCAAAGACCGAGGGGCATGCCCAATCTCTACGGCTACGCCAGGCAAACACCACCACAAAACACAACAACAACAACAACAACAACAACAACAACAACAACAACAACAACAACAACGAAAACAACCACAACTTTCCCCCGTAATGTCAATTCTCATCACCTTGTGCGTGGACAGATCCGCGGAGCCCCTGCGAGCGGCCGCCATCCCGAGCAACACCCCCACCGTCGTGCTCTCCTGGCCAAGCGTGAGGTACTCGAACACGTCCGTCATCGCCAGGGAGGACAGATGTCCCTGCAGCCCGAGGGCCATCAGCAGGCCCCCGTGGGCGTTGTTGGCGCCCCCGGCCGGCCTATTGTACGTGATCCAGGTCCTGCTTACGCCGCCCTCCTCGAAGCCGCTGCTCGCGGCGACCCCGCTGCCGCCGCCGCCGCCGCCATCCTTACCACCCCTGGCTCTGTTGGACCCCCACTCGTGCTGCAGCCTCAGCCCCGCCGCAACGCCGTTGTGGAACTCCGCCCACGCCGTCGTGTCGGGGGGCACCGCGGCGGCGGCCAGGTCAAGGTTAACCACGACGTCTGCCGGCTTCCGGATGCGCCCCGCGAGGCAGAGCGGCGGTATCGGCAGCGGCTCCGCCAGGAGTGGGGCCAGCGTCCCCAGCGTGAGCATGCCGCGGCCCAGGGGCCCCGCCAGGGTGCGCATGGCCAGCTGGAGCAGGCGCGCCTGCTGGCGTTGCTGGTGGTCGTGGTCGCTCGACTCCGGGGACCGGTCAACGTGAAATCGGACGGGCCGGGACCCGCGCAGGAGCCGACACGCCTCCCTCACCCGCCGGTCGCGCCCGAACCGAAGCGACGACAACTCGTCTACCCACGCCAGGCCGTCCAGATCGGCAGCGTCTCCACCCGCGCCTAGCGGCGATGCCGCCGCGGCCGCAGCAGCGGCAGCATGGCCACTGCCGCCGCTGCCGCCGCCTGCCTGCCCCAAAGCCACCCCGAATGCACGCCTGCCCGCCCCTCTGCCCGTGCCGTCTCTGGCCCCCGCGCCGCTGCCGCTGATTCTCCCGCCCGTCCAGTAACCCTCTGTCTCGCCGAAGCCACGTCCTTCCTCATCGTCGTCTTCCTCCTCCTCCTCACAGACCGAGTCGCCGCTGCCGCCGCCCCCGTCGCCGAAAGACCCGAGCATCCGACGCAGGGCGCTGAGGTCCTGCCGCCCCACCAGCTCCTGCGCAGCGGCCGGCCACTCCACGAGGGCTTGGCTGCTTGCCGCGTGGAGCACCTCCAGCAGGGGAAGGGTAAGCCCCAGGGGCGCGCGCTCCAGGTCCTCCGCCCGGTAACCTTCCTCGACCATCGCCGCCACGAGCCGAGCGCCGACCCAGTCCGACTCGCTGAATCCCGGGCCTAGGAATGAAGCCCCCGTCTCACCCCCGGCACCCGCCGGCGCCGCCGTCCCTCGTCCCGCTCCCTGCTGCTTTCCGACGCCGGCGCCGGCGCCGCCATCACTGCCGCCGCAAATGATGGTATAGAAGCGGCAGAGGCGGCGAGTCGCCTGGAGAACACCGCTGTCCTTCGGGAGGGTCGGAAACTGCTCGGCTTCGCCGCTGTACCGCGGGCCCCCCGCCACAGGCAGCGGGCCACCGACGGGATCGGCGCCATTCACCACTTTCCCCGTGCGAATCCTCGCGTGCACCCAGCTTCGGAAGCACGGTACCTGTCACGTACGGGGCGGAGAGAACGGGAGAGAGAGAGGGGATCTCGGGACGTTGTACTGAATTATATCCTCGGCTTTGTTGTGAGGGTGTGCTACAAATAGGCCGACAACTGCTGTATCCGAACTCCATCCTTCGTTCAAAAGAGTCCAACAACAAGAGGGTCGGATAAAAAATGTATATCAACAACAGCAGCGGACAGGTGGGCCCAAATAACGCGAGGTTGGAAAAACGATTTCCTATCCATCCACGACATGCCTGCGGGACGTCTCTGCACCTATGGATAAGCGCGTCTACCGAGCGATAAGGCGTGAATGCAACCCCAGCCGCACGCAAACACGCACCAATTGCGGCCTTCACGCCGGGATCAAGCTCCCGCGGGCGGTGCGCCTGTGACATTGTGCTCGAAGCCGCCACCCATACCTTGTCAAACCTAGTCGGACGACTCGGCAGGCCCCCTGCTCCCGTCTCTTTCCTCAGAGCGGCACCACCGTCACTGCGATCGATCATGGACGTCGTCTCGCCATCCCCGTGTCCGCACCCGGCCGCGTCCCTCCAGTAGTGGTCCGCGAAGTCACGCATCCCGGTCCCGCCGTCTCCGCACATGCGGGATAGCGACAGCAGCAGGGAGGCCAGACGCGGCACCAACGACGTCGTGAAGCGGGAGGTCTTGAGGTCCTCGAGCACGAGATGTAGCGCGTCAAAGACCGCCCCGGCTTCCAAAAGGAAATCCAATCTTTGCGTTTGCAACACATGCCGCTGTTGCTGTCGCCGCGCAGAGGAAAAATCCAAAGAATCGCCACGCGGCCGCCCCTTGACAGTCGGCTCGGTCGCGTGGTGAAATCCCGAGAGCATCATCGCGTTGGCGCGGGAGAACTCGTCGTGGAACGGGCTCGCCAACAAGCACTCCCAGTCATCACCATCGCCGCCGCGGTCGGCAAGGTCTACGCTCTGTCCGGATAGAGATGTGTGTGCAGACTCGCCCGTGCCCGAGACGAGGTCTCGCAAAACCGACACCAACGCCCCCCAGTCAAGGTCACCGTCGACGCCGCCTTTGGAACCCTTTACGTCGCCGCCGCCGCCGCCACCACCGCCGTCGCTACTTCCCCCGCCCGTCCCAGCCCCCTCTCCGCCAGGTCGCTCCTGTTGCTCCGCTAGGCAGTGCGCCGCGCTCGCAATGTCCGCTCGGAGGGATGCCGCAAGCGGGGCGCCCAGCAAAGAGTCCCAGGCACCCAGACACGCGGACACGAGCGGCGAAGAGGGGTCAAGCGACAGACGGAGCCGTCGTCGTTCCCCGCCCCGCGTTGTCAGGGTGAAGCAGGACCCAACAGCCTCGGAGATAGACTCGGGCTCGCCGTTGCTGCCGGCTCCATCAGGTAGTCCCGCTACGGCTGGACGCGCAACCCGCGTGACGGGTCTCCCGCCACGGTGCAGGTTGAGACTTCCGTCAAGTCCAAGGACAAGAATGTCTGCGGAAATCGCTGCCCCCGGGGTTCCTTCTCCCTCTCCGCCGCCCGTGGCGCACAGCCCGACCGCCGATCGGCACGGCAGCGTGAATGCCTCCCTGACTTCAACGCCCTCGCCGCCGCCGCCGCCGTCGCCGCCGCCGCCTCCAGAGAAGGACACAGACAGAGCGCGCAGTCTCGCGGCTTGGCGTTCGACGAAACAGAGCAAAAAGGACCCCGAGGAGGAAGAGCTAGCGCTCCCGGCCGCGGCGCTCTCACCGGATGACCCTCCCTCTGCGCAGAAAACGTGCTGCGCCGGCGCCGGCGAGCCCTCCGCCTCCCTCCAGACGAGCGAGATACCGAGGTGCGGGCGGATAGGTTGAGCCCCCTCTTTCTCATCCTGCTCCTCCTCGTCGTCGTCCTCCTCCTCATGGTGCACGACAGTTCCGCCGAGCGCCATCGAAGAGCTCGCGTTGAGAAGGAATGGGTCTGCGCCGCCGCCCGCGCGCTCGTGGTGCCCGGCCGGGGCGCTCAGGGAAAGCATGTTCGACGCCACCCCTAGTCCCGACTGGCCGAGGCCTAGAGCGCTCGCGAGAGCTTCATTGCGGGTGTTGCCCGCTCCGATCCATGATGCGTTGCTCCCGCTAGACGCCCGTCGCCCGGCCCCGCCGCCGCCGGAGAGTCGACCCCGCCCCATGCTTCCCCCGGCGCTGAGCCTGTCTCTGCGAGGGTTTCCAGCGTCCAGGACGGTGTCCATCATGGTGACTCCCGCCGCGGAAGACGGGGATTTCAGCGCCGAGACTCCGAGGAGCGTGCTGCTCAGGCTACTCGTGTCCGCCGCGCGCGTCGACGATAGGCCGGGCGTCGCGGCCCAGCTGTGGACCCCCCCCCCCCCCGGCGACTGATCAACCATCATGGAGCCCGAAACCGAGATGCCCCCCGCAGTGGCCAGAAGAGACTCGGATTCCTCCTTCGGCTCCGGCCCCTTCTCTGGCTCAGGCACGGGAGTTGCTAGCCACAGGGAGTGCCGTCGGCGCCCCGTGTGGTACGTCAAGAGAAGGGACGTGTCTCGTCCGGTGCCCCCGTCGCCGCCGCCCCGCGCGAAAACTACGTGCTCGGAAGCGTCACAGACAAGGCGTTGCTGCTGCTGCTGCTGCTGCTGCCTCTGGTCGGCTTGAGCCGCCGCCTCAGCGAACGGGGGGGGCGCAGGCGAACTAGCACCGCCACCGCCGCCGCCAAGTTCGTTGCTACGTCCTGCTGATACCGCCGGTGGCAAGAGTGCGACAGGCCTAAGCTCGTCAAGCGGGTGCAAGAGGGTAAACAGGGAAGGCACGGAGAAAGGCGGGTCCAAGCCGTCTTCCTCCTGCTCTTCTTCCTCCCCGTAGGCCCCGGCGGAAGAGAATTCGAACCCATCGCCACCGCCGCCGCCCGCATATCTCTGCACCAGCAAGCCCTCCCCGAGAGGCTGAAGGAGGCGGGCCTCGCAGGGCAAGGTGACGTCGTGGGAGTCCCCCCGCGGGTGGTGCACCGTCACCAAGTCCGGTTGTCGCAGGATGCACACCGACCACGGACCTCTCCGCCGCCTCTGCCGCTGCCGTCGCCGCCCATCCACCTGCACCGCTCCCTCCCCCCCCTGGCGGGTCGAGCTCCACCCCTCGAGGAGCGTCGGAAAGCGGCACCTCACGGCCTGCGTGATGGTTCCGTGAACGCCTGCTCCGGCACCGCCGATGACGCCGCCGCCGCCGCCGCCGCGCAAGCCTCCTTCCAGCGCGGCCGTCGGCCCGAGCACTACAGAACGGAAGGAGGTGTGCGCAATCTGACCTCCCAGGCTGCGCCAGACGGCGGAGGTACCCGAAGCGTCCACGAACAGCTCTTCCTGCGCCGCCGGGTCGGCCGGCCTGCGGCCACCGCCGGATGCGGGGCCTCCTCCCGCGTGCCCTCCGTCTGTGCTCGAGAGCACCGTGCAGCTTGGCGCCGGCAAAGGGTAGGGGCCGAGATCTTGGGCGTGCACTACTACCGCCGCTGCTGCCGCTGCTTCTTCTTCTACCATGGGTGCGGGTGGCGTCGTGCTGGAGATGCCATCGTGGTGTCGGTGCTGCATGGTGTGCGCAGCAGCAGCAGTGCTACTGTGGTCAGCCGCACCAAGCAGGTTCTTGCCGTCTCAAGTTTGAATTTCAGCCGCTGCTATGTTGCAAAACCTCTGTCAAAAGTCACACCGACAGCGTGTCATTCCATTGGAACACAAGGATCAGGGTTGCTGCTAAGAGAAAAGACTTTGGAGACGACTTGCAAAGGAGTCGACGACGTCGTGCGTCGTGCCGCCAGCAAAGTGAGAGAGCTGCGGTGCAGCGTGCTTGTACTTGTGCTGTGCAGCAGGGGGCCCGACAGCTACAGAAATTGGGGGTAATCATACTATCTGCAGGGACTCCGTAGCAAGTCAAGGTCAAGTTGGTTGCGTTGGGCGTCGTTCCCTGACAGCCTTACGTCGTGACACGTGTGGGGCTGTACATCCATCTCCAAGCCTGAACCCGCTTTCGGCCAGGTGCCAATGGTGTCGGCGTACCCGGGAGGAGAAAGACAGCACGTGCAGAACAAGGGTGATCAATCAAAATGGCGGTCCCACCCGCCCAGCAGCAGAGCGGCGGTGAATCTAATCAGCAGTCTGGTACAGGTACTCTGTCGGACCTCGTGAAGGACATGGTGAAGGAGATGGATGGGGACGACTTCTACTCGACCACGACGGACTTGTATGATGAGTCTGCAGAGGTACAGAGCAGGCTGATGCTGAATTCATTTCGAACTGATTGATATCCCTCTTGCTTATTAGTCTGCTTCCTGATACCAAGAACGTACATATTTGAAGGTTGAAGAGTCTCCCGCCCTCTGTTAGCCGGGAGCATAGACGCGTAGACTACGTACACATTTGGTATCGCGGGAGATGTCTAGCAGCAGGCGCCGCGCTAGCAACACGGCGTCAAAGCCTGTGAAGCCCCGAAATACGAAATATGCAACTCTGCGCTTGCTGTTAAAAAAAAAAGCCGTGTGCCACTTGCAGATGGTACAGCAGTTCGGTACGGCGGTGCGACTCTTTCCTTCTCTCTGCCCGTGCATCGCATTTTCTGTTTGGAACACTGCGTGTTTCCCAGCGTATTGCCAAAGTGCTACATGACATGGATGTTGATCTAGACATGTGTCAAGTTTAACATCCGTGTTTGCTGAATTCGGACTGGATGGGAAGTTGAAAAATTATTAATTTTCCTGCGGGCTTGTCGAAAAAATTATGAAGTAAGGTAAGTTGCTCAAGTAGCTCCTGGCAGCAACGACAAGGAACTGGCCGTTTGGACCCTAATTCTTGTCTGCATCGATCGGGCATGAACCAGTGATTTTCATGAAACATTCATGCTGCATATCATCCAAAACTCGCTTTCTTTTTCCCTCCCACGAAAGGAGCACTGGTTCAACATCGACATCACCCTTGAGCCCGACGGCGAGGGCCTAGCCGCCGGCGAAGATCCGCCGCCGCCCGTCCATGCGGCATCTCTACGCAAGCCATGGTCGGAGTTCCAGCGGCTGCACTACCTCCTCCTCGCCGATGAGTTCGGCTGCGACGAGGCGGTCAAGGAAAAGCTACCGGCGCTGCCAGCCCGCCCCCCTACTGCAGTGGCCAGGGGCGGTGTCGCAGGCATCAGCAGCTGTGGCAGCAGCGGCGGCGGCGGCGGCAGCGGTAGCACCGACGGCAGCTTCGGCAGCAGCGTAAACAGCAGTAGCAGCAGTGAACTTGCTCAAGGACTCGATGCCTACCTCAAGGCGCTGTTGGCCGTGCCTGCCGTGATTCAAAGCCAGGTCTTCAGCGGTTTCCTAGAAGAGCACAGCCGGCGCCGCCACCGCGGCGCAAACAAGGAGGACGAGGAGAAGGAGAGCGGCGGCGATGGTTCGGCGGGGGCTTGCAGCACTGGCGAGGAAGCGCGGAAGAGCCCCGAAACAGCGATCGATTTCCTGCTGCAGCCGTTCGAGTACGGCAGGGCGTACGTGCCGCGGCGGGCGGAGCACACGGAGAGCATCGACGTTCTCCGCGGCGAGAGCGTGGTGTGGAAGTTCGAGGTGCTGGACCACCTAGACATCGACTTCTCGGTCACGTTTCGACCCCACCCGCTGGCCTCTTCCTCCCGCCGGCCGCTCGAGGCGGACGAAGACGGCGGCCGGCCATCGACAGCGGAAGAACAAGAAGAAGAAGACCGCGGCGTTCTCGACGCTGGAGTGGGCTTGGCGAGTAGTCCGGGCCCCAGAGGCGTCGGCAACGGGGGTGTAGCTGCGTCATCGGCGAACGGCGACAGCAGTGGCACCGAGGCCGGGAGGAAGCGTTCGAGATGGTGGGGCAGAAGCGGCGGCTGCGAAGGTGCGGCGGGGGATGCAGATGGTGGGACTGGAGGGGGGGCCGTGAGCGCGCCGAAGGGTGAGACCGTGCACCTGCCGACGAGGTACTCTACCGGGGGGGGCGATCCGGTGCAAGGGAGCTTCAGCTGCCCCGCGGCCGGGACGTGAGTATCTACTGATGTCTACTAAGAATTATGCTTGTCATGGCGTGACCGCTGGGTTCGGTTTTATCCCTCCCCTTATCAAGCCGCATGGCTGCCTTCACACGAACGACTCGCGTCAGGTGTTCCGAGACCCCTTCACCTCCTTCTGGGGGTTTGTTCTTTTCCGGTTGTCATCGAGCGCGGCAATTTCGCCAGTAACTCTTTGCCCTCAAGGTCTCTGTTGCCGCCGCCCTTTCTTTACCGGATGATCCCGACGGCAGAAGCGGCCAATTGGACCCCATTTTGACCCCTTTCTTGAACTCGAATTTCCTCGTCGCGTACATACAGGTGCATTTTGCGGTGGGACAACGCCTTCAGTCGATTACGCGGGAAGCGACTTTGCTTCGTGTTTGAGTCTGTCACCGTGCAGACGATGCAGGCGGCCATCGAGGCCGCGGGCGCGGCCGATCACAAGAGGCGCGCCGCGCGCAGTGCGGCGGCGCAGACCATCCTGGACAGCGGGCGCGGCGAGGTCAAGGTCTGCGTGACGGCGGTCGGGGCCGCAGATGACTATGGCGGCGACGAAGAAGACGTGAAAGAAGGTAACGACGGCGGCGGTTATTCTGCGGGCGCCGGAAGCTCCGACGCGATCTACTACAGCAGCCTCTACAGGTTCGGGCGTGTCCGGAGGGTAGTGGCAGGTCTGCTGCGAGATCTCGGCGGCATGGTTGATGTCACGAGAACCAGTGGCGGAATCAACGGTGCGGCTATTGCGGATAGCGGCGGCGCCGGTAGCGGCAGCGGTAGCAGTAGCGGCAGCGCCTTTGACGTGGGAAGAGGTACTACGGGGAGGGGCGACAGGTACGGGAACGTTAACGCGGAGGGCGTTGCCAAGCTCGTGGCGCAGTTTGAGCTCTTGGAGGACGAGGTGGCCTCAGTCTCGGCCCGGCGGGCGCAAAGCGAGGCGCAGGCGAAGGTGCTGCTCGCGAACCTGCAGAAGTCCAACGCCAGGGCCGACAGGTATTTACACGGACTGGTGATGCGTAGACCCCAGGCTGGCCTGGCGGTAAAAAAATGCCTTGATAAGCGTTAACGGGGATGATTCCGCGTTGTCGAAAACGGTGATAACACACCATATTTTCCGTGCGGTTCTCCGTCAGATTCCTTTCAGTTGACGAATCGGTACCCGCTGGTCCGTTCGCTCGGTTTCATATATGACGGCAACGCGGCAGCACTTCGTGTAACTTGGTGTTGTTGATTTTTTTCGAACCCTGTGCTTTGACGTCGACTTGTTGAGCAGTCGGTGCAGCTTTTTTGGCGTTAGTGCCAAGAAACGTCATGAACCTGCCTTCTTTCCACACGGTCGAGAGGTGAGGAATAATCAAGACGTGATGCTTCGAAACCACCAAACTGCTATAAAGTCCTCGCCCTCCTTGGCCGGCAAACCGCGACGATTCTTCTTCTGTTTTTTCCTGGAAGACTCGAACGAAGCCTCGAGGAGACGCGGGAGGACCTCTCGACGGTTCGCAAGACCCTGCGCGAGACCGAGACCGCTAGGGACGAGGCGGCGGCGGCCGCGGCGGAGGCAAGCGCCGGGCTGCAGACGTCCGAGGAGCAGCTTCTTCGCGCGAGACGGCAGCACGACCTCCTGCAGGCCGAGCGGAGCGTGTGGCACGTCGCTCGGAGCGGCATCCAAGAGGAGCTGGCGAAGGTGGGGTGGTGGCGACGAACGTGTTCGGCTCTCACGCCTGTGCTTGCAGCAAGCAGGCTTGGACGCGCTCCAAAACCGTGTGGATTTTTTGTTTCCATCGACAGACGACCGATCGGTTTTTGCACGACCGCCACTCCTTGGCCGTCGCCCGAGATAAAAAATCCAAAATTCATCTTGTCTGTTCGAGATCATGTTGCAGCTCCGCGTTATCATGAATTTCTCGGGGGGAACTCGATTGCGCATCACTCCACGCCCATTAACCTCCCGCGCCCCAACCCGCCGCATTGTCGACGACCCCTCGAAAATAGGTTGTAGCCGAACTGGAGCAAGAGCGACATCGCCACGAGGACACGAGCCGCGCCCTCGCCAAGTCCCACGAATCCCGCGCGCACGCGGAGGCGGAGGCGGCGCGCCTGTCCCGCCGGCTGGAGGAGGAGCGCGGGGGCGCCGGGGGCGCCCGGGAGGACCTCGCTTCCGAGT